ATAAAAACATTCCAAGATTCACAATAAATCCATGTAATATATGTTTACTAATACCAAAGGATTACCAAATCATCAATAAAATTTGTCATTGCACACTGTGACAGTAATGTGTAATATGTCCCAACAAGAATGTTAGATACCAATGTACATCTACAAATATATCATTCTAATTGTGCAGCAATATACAATTCTTTCTATATTTTATATGTTGATTATTTTCTTGTTATTTTTTGCAACTATATTTATATTAAGACAAAATTGATTCTAATGGAAATGTAATACTAATGATGGCATATGTCGTCATGAATCTCTCCCAGCTGTGAAACATTTCTCGGTACTAGAAATTATTTATTGTTGGAAAGAAATCTGTAATATCGCAAAATACTAAACACTGCAAAAAATGATAGAAAAATGTTGACCACACAAGACTCTGTCAGAATACATTCCAAAACAGCGAAATATGGAAATGGATACTGCCTTCACTTCACAACACTTTTCAATGCACATTTAAGCCCTTTATTCTTGGTTCAAGAAGTTTCATCACGAAAGCACCCTACATATCAATTATCAATATAATAGGGCTTGTAGTTTTCAATAAATATTTAACAATATCAGTCGCTGAAAATAGAGAATTAAAAATATTGGCACAAAATTAACAAATCTGACATTTTAAATAAATGTAGAATAAAGCAGAACACGAGTCTTGCACAGTCCCTGTTAGTTATCAAATTTAAGATATATAGTTTTGTTTATAGTAATATATTTGGAATATAAACATGTCAGGAATATGATTATGATGATTGTTTAACAATAAAATGATTGACACTGGTATCTGATCGTCAGAGTTATGTACATTCAAAGCACAATTATTAAAACAAAATGGCCACCAGTCCGCCATTTTAAGTCTAATCTGAAAAATAAAATTACGTGCATCAGAAACCCATAATAGGTAATGTTTATACAAATTTTGAACAAATTCCATCTATAAATGATTGATATTTGATGATTTTTTAGCACAAAAGTGATTGACATCGCTTGTATCTGATTGCCAAATGAGTACTTGTCTATATTGACAGATATTGCTCTGCAAACGCATCAGCCATTTTGAATACATCTATATATCTATAACATGATGTATAATGAATATATAAAATTTTAACATAATCAGTCAAAGCATGTCAGAGATATGGCACCAGAAGCCCATTCATTAAAACAAAATGGCTGCCAGTCAGCCATTCTGAATAAGATCTGAAAAATAAAATGACGTGCATCAGGAACCCCTGTCTAATGTATGTACAAAGGTTGAACAAAATCCATCCACAAAGGCCAGAAATGCTTGATATTTGATAATTTTTTAGCCCCTAAATGGCCACCCGTTGGCCACTTTGAATAGAATAATCAAACCAATATATCTGTATATCAATGATGTAATGTATAATGAATATTTAAAATTTGAACATAATCAGTCACAGCAAGTCAGAGATATGGCACTAGAACCACATTCATTAAACAAAATGGCCACAAGCCGGCCATTTTGAATCTTATCTGAAAAACAAAATGATGTGCATCAATGTCCCATAATGTCCAATGTATATACCACGTTTGAACAAAATCCATGATTTTTCAGTATAAAAATGGCTGTCATTCAGCCATCTTAAATCAGATCGTGAAACAAATTGATGTGCATATGTATAATATTATGTATGAAGTTAGAATGTAATTGGTCTAGGCACGCACACACGCATGCACAGAGGTCAATCCATTAGTCCCCGTTTTTCGGACTGCATTCGAACGGGGACTAATATGCAGTGTGGTATGATTACTTCTGGACTTGTATATAGCTACATGTATTTTGCTATTGTCTATTGTCACGCTACATAATAAGTAATAACAATATATAAATTTTTATTGTTTTTGTTATTGCCAATTATAAGAGTTGTCAAAATGTACACGATGTTCCGATGTCCTTGCAACTTTTTTTTTAATTGGTCAAAGTCAAAGCAAACAACATAATGCTCCCAGTTGAAAGAGCTTGGCAAATGTAGGAGAATACAATTAACAGTTTTTTGATTTCACTTCTGTTGTGTAAAAATTGAAAAAAAGCTTTCATCTATAACAGGAGAAATACTGATGCGAATTAGTTAAAATTTTTGATGTGCATATTACTCACGTATATAATTATATTAATGGAAATTAGAATGTTACAAATACACAAAAAATAGAGATATTGCCAAAAATGTTAAATAAATAAAAATCATTATTTTGATCGTTAAAAATAGAGTGACACTTTTTTGTCCTCTTTTTGTGTGTCTACAGGTTATATATTACATGTATAGCCTAATCGCAACAATAAATTGTATAAAATGTATGCATAAAAATGAATATTTTCAGTTATGTTGCTATGACAACTATTTTATATACAGGTTTTGCACTGGTACATGTATGCTACCATATTTTAAAGATTCAACTTTTCTCAACAGTTGATTTGTCGTCATACTTTACCAACAATCCTTTGCTAAAGAAACAAGATGGCGGACTACATAACACTGATGAAAAGTTGAATATCTGGAGAATGAAAAAAATGATACAAGAAACTGTAAATTGCATTTTCTTACATTTGCTGAGCTCTTTCATCTGGGAGCGTTATATTGTTAGCCTTGACTTTTCCTTTAAATAGCTTTTCCAACACCTGAGCCCATTTTAACGTTAAATATATCTCATAAGTGACACTATAATCCATGACAAATCACCTCTAGACATTAGCCTCATTTCATTTAATGTGGACAAGAAATTCAATTTATACTAAATGAGGGCACATGTTTTCTGTGAAATCTTACTGAAAATTCAATACAATGAATACTGGTGGTATAGGAAACCTTGGAATATTTATTTCCATCTTTTAAAGATATTGTTATTAGAACAATTCATAACAGAAATCTGGGAGTAACAGAGAAAATGTTACACTTGTATCTACATAACTTGAAATGGCAATCATGTTACTTTTTATATACACATTGTATTCATTTGTACAAATTAGACGCATAACAGTGTCCCTTTCTTTAAAAAAAACAAACTTATTTCACAATAATATACAATGGCATTTACAGTTTTTCAAAAGCAAACATCCAAAAAATTACTTATTGAATCACCAGAAATTTAAATATAAAATAGGTTTCCTGAATAAATCATAGTGGTAAAATTTAATAAAATGTTTTGATAATCTTAGTTTGCATATCTCGTTGATTTCATTAATTTCTAAATAAATATCAACATTCTTTGAATTGCTTAAAATCATTCAAATAATTATACTTTTATAACCTAAGTTCACAGTCAACTGAAAATGTTCAGTCTGAGTACTTTGCTTATTGTAAATTACTGTCAACATCATTGGCTTTATTTGTAACATAATTATGATTTTACTGTATAAATAATTATAAAGAATGCAGAATGGTAGTATTTAAAAGATAATATTGACATAATATTTGGTATAATGTCATGATATATAATACCTGGTAATCTATCAGAGGCACAGACATTTATTTCAGTACTACTGGTATGTTATTATCAGAAGCAGTCTCCTTACTGTTGATGTGCTTCTAATAATAGAGTAAATACAGTAGTTCACCATCAAGGTTGAATACAGTGAGCAAAGTAAATTGAAAATAAATAGCACAGTCCAAAAAATAAGTACATTCAAATAATTTTTTGTAAATGATTTCTGGCAAGATTTCTATTTTTGGAAATTAAACAAACAATCAAACTGATTGTCAAGAAAATCATCCATGTCTACTTGTAAACACAGCATTGAGGGAGGAGGTGGGTCTTGAGGCATGACTTGATACACTGAAATAATTACTGGTGGTTAAAATAAGGACATACTTATTAGATGTATCCATGTAATTCAGTGAGTAAGTTTCATTTGTCAGTTCAAGCTGTTCTTCTCTTATATCTATGAGGGCATCACTGCAGTATTTATGATACATATCTGTCAATGACATCAATACCAAACCCCAAGCATGTCACATTATGAAAATTGGTTGGTGATTAACACCACATTTTTTTAACCTATTGCTTCTATATACTTGTAGGACAAATGTTTTATTTAAATTAGCACAGCATGTATATGGGAATATTCAACAATACATACTTCCTAGGAATACTTCAGACAGCAAATTAAATTGCATGTCTCTGTGAACAGGTAAATAAAAGGGGTAAAGTACGAGGTTGCTTTGACAGTTTTTAAAACTTACAAATTTGTATTTATGGCCATACATGAAATGTGGAAGACATAAAATTACAGCAGATATTTCAGCTGTCCTCATTGAATGAATTCAGCTATGGAGTTGACAGTGCTATATACTAACTTACAGCATGCTCATTAAAAATGACAGCTTTACAAATACAGAATAAAAAAAATGATTTAAAATACAAGACAATACCCAAAGTAGACAGATGATGTCACATTTGGATTAGTCTATGAACACAACACAGTATGTGTCGATTCTAACAACCAATCTTTGTGGTTATTACTGTAAATATGATTGATCTCCATACTGTTTAGTAAAGCTACTCTTAGCCTATTTTACAGTCACTTACAATTCATATCTATAGTGGATTATTCCATCAAATCAGAGAAAGGAGCGAGAAGGTTAAGACTATAAAGATAATTTATATTCCAGGTTTTCAAATAATAGTAAAAAGTTTGTTTCAAAACGGAAATGTATACAGATGGATGGAATCATGTTTTCTCACTGTACAAAATGAAACCTCGCTCAGCATAAAACATCACTATATACATTCACACACGCCTGATTGGCTGATGTGTAGTAATTATTTACATATTTAGTGTCATTGGACATTCATTGTAAACTTGACAAATCACAATTTTAACAATTCATACACCAGTAAATATGATTGGTTGATGCACACACATAATAATTGTGATTGATTATTCATTCAAGTTCTCATCACAATCAGACATGGCAAACTAAGTATAACAGCTAGAGTATGACACATGTTTTGCTTTTTTCTTGTGATTGTGCTTGCTTAGCTGCTGCAGCTTCCTCCTGTTTCTTTTTTTCTGACTCTGTTTGATTCTGTTTCTGCCAAAATTTCCACTGAAATGCAAAATATAGTATTTTATATTGTTGTAATATAAGCCAATAGAACAATCAACTATCTGAGAGAAAATATACAATATATACGTTGCAATGCATGTTTAAATCACACATCCTGGCTTATTCCTGGGTTATATTATGCTACAATGGCAAAAACATAATAATTTCTATACAACCAGACATTTTGGTCACTGTTGTCTCACCTGACTTTTTTGTGTTAACTGCGAATGCCACATGACTGGAAAGCAGGGCAGACTGATTTATTCTACTTAACTTAGCTCTGGGAAAACTATATACATTTATACATGTTTTTTCGATAAAATAAACATATAAATGGCAAAAACTGGGTTACAGCAAAATATAACAAACAAAACAACAAAACAAAATAACACAAATTATTAACAAGCAGCCTCTTGGTTGAGATAGCTTTGCTTTTAGCAATGCACATTTCTTCAAAGAATTGAAGATATCACAATAGGAAAAAATCCGAGAGAAGTCCACCTTTAGTGTCTATATATATTATATTAAAGCAATTGAACTTGCAGTTTCCAACAAGAAGTCGAAAATATAATTCTTTACCAAATATGATAAAAATATTCATGAAAATCAGAAAATTGAAGATATCATCACGAAATGAACAAATCTGAGAGAGTTCCACCTACAGCACCTATATGTACGACATCAAAGTAATCAGACGTGGTTTTCAAAGAGGTTCTCATTGATAGCAATGTTGTACCCCAAGAAAGTACCAAGATGTGTGACCTTTAGGGCTTATGCAAAACTAGGTCATAAATTCAGGTCATAATTTGGTAGATGTGCTAAAACAGCACCTCATACACAGAAGAAAAAGTAGAAGTCAGAGTCAAATATTGATAAGAACTCAATACATCTACAAATACGACAAAAACATCTACTCAAACTAGTTATGCTAAGACATTACACACACACAAGTTGAAGAGTCAAGGGGCATTCAAATGCAGAAGTAAGAGAATATCAATAGTGCAGTGATGAAAAACAAACACAGGAGTGAGTGTAGAATTGAATGCAGCAAACTAAATGTAACAAATGAGACTTACTCATGACACAGCGGCAGCAAGTTTAACATTATCACAATGATTTTGAGAAAAAAAACAAAGGAATAATTACTATTGTATGTAAATGTATGGTAAGTGTGTGATAAACCATATGCAGTGATATATGCATAATATTATACAAAACATAATGATTTATTAATGTGGACAATAATAGTGTTACATAACATGATATATCATAGATTCACTTTTAAAAAGCTAAGGAAATCAAAACAACATTATTGAAGATGGAGAGATATTAATATGCATGGGATTTTGACCCAAAACTAAAAATCTGTGTACTAAGTTTTATTGAAATGTGATGATTGGTTCTCAAGATAATGGTGGCGCAGACATATATAAACATATAGACAAATATATATACAGACACACACCAAAAAAACTTGTGTATTTAGCTAACTAATCTGAATGAAAATAATTTTACATCACTGCCGAAAAAAATGATCATGAAAAACTATAAATCTCCCTATCAAATTGTCTTGGCACATTTTGAAAAGTGACAAATAGGACTAGTCCACAGATGTAATTTCAAGTGTATTAGCTGCTTTTATTCTTAGTTTTCAATTGAGACTGATGGATTATTCAGTGTGTTTTCAAACAAACAAATTACAATATATCAATTCACGATTAAATTTATAAAATCAAAGGACTGAAAGACGATATTGGAGGACAATTTTATAGTAATTTTACATTGTAGTAGCCTGCATTGTCAAACTGCATTGTGGGTAATACTAACACATTAAATGTATGCAGTGTTTACTACATCACCTACCAGAAAGTCTGTGGAAATAATAAATTTCATTTATTACTCGTTAGGCTTAACTACAGATTACTGCCCCGAACGGACACAATAGGGAATATACTCTGTTCACAAAGAACACCCTAGGGTAGCATTCCCTATAGAAAATAGGGCCTCTCCTGAGGGGTCACCCTCAAGGTGCTCGAGCGTGTGAGGCCCAGTCAGTTCATTCTCTCTTGTTTCCGCTTCAATGATGCAGATATATTTTTCAACTCCGCTTTTACAAGCAAACGGCAAGAGTACAGGTTTAGAGTTCCCCCATTTATGACTCTGTGAGGGGAGGGGACTCCAGTGTTGGTACCCTGTACAGGGTGGTATGCAACCCTCTTATGGGGTGCAGCTACCACTTCCCCCAACAGGAGGGGGGCGAGCGCTCTGTCGTTACTCGCCCCCGCTTTGTCGGAGCAGTCACAGGATACCAGCTGTCCCTTACTAATATGCAGTTAAGGTTGCAGCTTGTGAACCGGGCAGTGACGGCTGCGAGACATTTGTTTCGTGCGGGGCTGGTGGTAATCCCACCCCCCGGATGGGAGAGTGTCCCCTTTGGACCCATTTTCATTGGCGCTCTCCTCTCCCATTGCAGGTGTGGAGATCACGCCCGCTGGCCAACTCCCCTGGGCACCTTTTCATTTGACTGGCACCAGTGCCTACAGGCTTTACGGGTGGAACTTAGACCCATCAATTTTATAGAATGGTTTCTTTGCTAAGTTCTGACCGTCTGAGTGCTCAGCAACGAACCTCGATCCTCGGGCAGATGGGCCAGTTCCTGGCGGCGCAGAGAGTCGTTATGTGCGATATATGTCCATACTTTGGTTGAGCGGTTCTGGGTCTGTGCGCCTATCCTACTCCAGCGGGAGACAAGTTCGATCGCCTGCGGAGAAGGCCTTGGTAGCGTGACTGGCTATTTGGTGACCGGTTAGTGGATGTGATGAACAGTTTGGCGGTTGCCGAGGATCAGCATATCCAATTGAAGCAATTGTTCCTTTTGGCCAAGGTAGCTAGTCCTCCTGGTCATCCGGTCAAACTAAAACCGCAAGGTAGCCCAGGCAGTAAGTCCACCGCTCGGGGCCACAACCAGCGAGGATCAAAGCACCCATAGTCTCCTTCGAAGGGGCAGAAGAAGACTGGTAGCAGGAAGCGTCAGAAAAAGCCCAGGAAATGTGGCGTTGGTGGTGGGCGTTCTGACACTTCTGGGGACATGGATGGTGGTACGACTTTTGGTCTCCCTTCCCGTAGTCCTTAGAAGCTGGAGTTCGGGAAGCACTAGCTCTGAACCCCCGTCCACACCTTCCAGTGGGATCGTGCCTTATGCAGCACATACCAGCTTGGCGCAGGAGAATTTCCGATCCCTGGACGCTCACAGTAGTGTCGCGTGGGTATCAGATTCCTATCAAGTCTCCTCCTCCTCTGACTCCTCATCCTCCTTTAGGTCTTTTGCTGAGGGACGAGGTCAAGGCGGAGACGATCCGACAGGAAGTAGCAAGCCTTCTTGAGAAAAGGACGATACGCCTAGTGGGGAACCCCCATTTAGTGCCAGGGTTCTTTCCCACATCTTCCTCGTTCCCAAGAGTTTGGGGGGGGGGTGGCGTCCGGTCCTAGACCTCAGTCGGCTGAACAAGTTTGTGGAACTCAAGTGCTTCCAAATGGAAACACCAGCTACGATACTTCTGTTAGTGCACTCAGGCGATTGGTGTTGCTGGATTTGAGCGAAGCTTACATTCCCATTCACCACTCATGGATTCGGTATGTCAGATTCCCATTAGAGAGCAAAGTTTACGAGTTTACTGCCCTCCCTTTCGGCCTGTGCACGGCATCGTACGTCTTCACCAGAGTGCTAAGACAGGTGACCCAGCTGCTACACCGGTCGTCATGAACCCATATCTCGACGACTGGTTATTACACAACCGAGACAGGGAGGTTTTAGTGGAGCACATACGACTCACGCAAATGCTCCTCCACCCCAAGTCCAACCCAATACCGTCCCACAGCCTGTTTTTTTGGGGTATGCAGTTCGACACAGAGCAAGGGCTTGTTCGCCCTTCTCAGGAGCGATGGGACTCTCTTGTAGAGCTCGCCAGCCAACTCTGGTCAACGGGATCGGCGTCAATGCGCGAACTGATGCGGCTTATTGGCAATTTGACTTCAGTTCGCCGTCTGGTTCCGTTAGCAGCTCTCCAGTCTCGTCCGATTCAGTGGTGCTTACTGCAGTGTTGCATCCAGGATTTTTTTGTTAGGAGACAATGTGTCCCATGCACGTTAATTTTGTGAGACATCTGCATTTTTTGGGAGACAACAATAGAGCAGTTCAAAATCAATTTCAACCAACTTTATTTCTCAAAGGCAACATCAAATGACATCAGTGACAATACATGCAGTTTTTCTGCTTCTAAGTGGTTTCGTGTCTTTGTTTTGATTTTATTTTGTACGGAAAATCCGCGTTCACAATCAGCGGTTTGTACTGGCAAAACCAAAGCTATTTTCGCAAGTTTAAGCAAATAA